CAAGAGCTGGTGTACCAGGCTGATCTTTGCTAAACTCAATAAGATTTCTGCGAGTGAGTTGGGTTGCTGGGGAATAATCTTCGCTAAGCAAAATGCCACCTAAAGAAGTCGATTTCGTTGTGAAAGAACATTTTCTTTCAACTTGAAAATTGCAATATTGTGGGTCCGCATTACACGGTAATAAAATGATTATGTGATGAGCACGTTCAATCAAATCGAATGAAAAGGAGGGAAGCACATTTTTCAGTGCAGATTTAACTTGTTTTCGGCTTGTTCCCATGTTTCTTTTTTATCTGAAATGTTTGGGATCATTAGATTGTTATGCTGTTATCTATCTTCAAGATCGTTTGCAGGAGACTACAATGTAGCATACTAGGCATGTCTGCATCCTGTGCTTGAAAATTCTTACATTTTTCTTCCACATCATCTAATTGTTTGCTCAGTGCTCTGAATTTCGTTTTTATTGTTTTTTTGTTATTTTTGATAGCTTTGATATCAGTGGATTGCTCTGCTAATGTTTTTGAAGGCTGGAGTGAGTGGGTGTGCATGGCCTTAATGAAGCAAAACATTATCTTCATTTGCTCTGAATGGTCATCTAGTAAGGTGTCAATATCAAAAAGGGAATCCGCTCGAGTATTAAGTCCAGGGTTCGTCTCAATGTCCTCAGAACACAGCAGTAACAAGGCATTGATTGATATGTGGGGTTCAACGCCCCAAAACCACCATATGATTATGAGAGACGCAGAAGTAACAAGGCAAGTGATGAGTAAAACAATCCTAAAAAAATTGGCCCTGTATCTGCATATTTCACTGCAAATGTCGTCGAAAGATGACACTTGCAGTGAAATATGCGTCTAGAGAGAGTGAAAAAAACATTTGATGTTCTGCGCAAGAAAATTGGTGCATTTTATTCTGGAGGCACTGCATTAGAGAGTCCCGATCTGTGCAGTGAAGGTGAACAAGCACATCGAGGCACATTATACACGAGCGCTATCTAGCAGTTATCTTCAAAAACGAAGGAAGGCGTGCAGGCCCATCTGGGAGGTGATAAGGTGTAGAACGCAAAGCGACGGTCAGGTGCCACCACAGTGCCGTCTTAGCAAAGTATTAGAAACACTTGCCTTTTTGAGCATCAGGTTGCATTGTTAGCACAGCGTGATAAACGCTACGGTTCGTAGAATTACTTATGTATGCCTTCTCTAGTATGAAGTTGCAGATACAAAATATTGACGTGTTGTTATGGTGCCTCAGATATGCACAGTAATTGCTTTTTAATTGACGATTGCACAAGTATGAAAATGCTGAAACTTGAGCAATATTGGCGGGCGCTGCGGATGGAGTTGGCCGTTTGAGGTATCGTTTGGTGTCATTTGGGGTATTGTAAGGGCAGATTAACAGACAAATGTACAGACAGACGAAAACTTTTGCATCAAAGTACCCTAAGAAAGACTATCATCTTCAAAATTTCATACATCACCCATGGGCATCATCTGTCCATTGATAGTGCCAGCAGGAATATGATGGCAGCCTGCGCAGGACAAAAGCAGGGATTACGAGCCATGCCGATAGTGCTGCTTCAATGCCCACTGAAGGTGAAGTTTGCAGGGAAGACGCCTAATTACGCCTTGGTGTCTGACGCACTAGCGAGTACAGCTGTTGAATAGAAGACGGGTCTTTCTGAAGACCCCACAGCAGTAAAATCTTCGTCCACAGTGATGCAGGCACGGCTTGCATCAGGTAGATGTTCAGAAAACTATTCCAAGTCGGTGAGGGTTTTCCTGGATAGTGCCAGCAGGAATACGATGGCAGCCTGCGTAGGACAAAAGCCGGGATTACAAGCCATGGTGTAAGTGCTGCTCCAATTCCCCCTGAAGGTAAAGTTCGCAGGGAAAACACTTAAGTATGGCTTGGTGGTTGATACACTGGTTGATACGGCTGTTGAATGGAAGATGAGTTTTTCTGAAGACACCACAGCAGGAAAATCTTCGTTTACAGCGATGCAGGCACAGCTTGCGTCAGGTAGATGTGCAGAAACGCATTCCAAGTCAGTGAAGGTGTCCCTTGATAGTGCCAGCAGGAATACGATGGCAGCCTGCGCAGGACAAAAACAGGGATTACGAGCCATGCTGTCAGTGCTTCTCCAATGCCCACTGAAGATGAAGTTTGCAGGGAAGACACTTAAGTAGCCTTGGTGGTTGATGCACTGGTCGATACTGCTGTTGAATGCAAGACGAGTCTTTCTGAATGCGTCACAGCAAGAAAATCTTTGTCCGCAGCGATGCAGAGACAGCTTACGTCAGATAGATGCGGAGAAGCCCATTCCAAGTCAGTGACGGTGTTCGTTGACAGTTCCAGCAGGAATATAATGGCAGCCTGTGCAGGACAAAAGCAGAGATTACGAGCCATGCCAACAGTGCTGCTCTAATGCCCACTGAAGTTTGCAGGGAAGACTTAAGTACGCTTTGGTGGTTGATGCACTGGTCGATACGGCTGTTGAATAGAAGACGAATCTTTTTGAAGACGCCACACCAGGAAAACTTTTATCAACAGTAATGCAGGCAGAGCTTACGTCAAGTAGATCTGGAGAAATGCATTGCAAGTCAGTGAGGGTGTCCGTTGATAGTGCCAGCAGGAATATGATGGCAGCCTGCGCTAGACAAAAGCAGGAATTACGAGCCATGGCGATAGTGCTGCTCCAGTGCCCCTCAGACTTCTCAGATATTGCAATACACTCAGATGCCATTATAGCAAATTTGCATATTACTTGAAAATAACTTTGTTACAACCCAAAACTCGTTACAAAAGGTATATTGCTAACATTACAGCTATTGCATGACTATTGTTCATTTACATTGTTATAACTGATGTTTCGTTCTATCCTGGTTCTTTATATCGAGGTTTGAGTGTAGCAGTAATTCAACGGGCTCACATAAAACTGTCATTGGAAGTGGGCCGCACAGTGAAAAGAGGAAGGTGGGAATGAAAAAAAAAGAAGCGTGCTCATGGGGTGTAAAAGATGGTGCAGTCCATCAGCTCCAGTATGGAAGAAGGCAAGGAAGAAATGGTCATTTGTTGACACTGGTTCAGGTGAAGAAGAGAGCATTCTTGTTGACAATGAAGCTCTCTTCTAGGCATGCCTTGGTGTGTGTAGCTAGCAGCTCTGTCATTGTGCTGCTATGCATTAGGGCATGGTTTTGATTCTTGGCCGCGGTGGCCAAATTTGAACAATGCTGAAATGGGAAAATGCACGTGTACTTAAGGAAGACCATGCGGTCAAAATTAAACTTATATCTCCAATACAGCATGCCTTGATATTGTATTCTGGTTTTTGTACATAGAACCCCGGAATTTTTTCAAAGCTCACATCAAAGTGGAATGCTGATGCAACATTTCATTTTTTTTGGTCTGTTAAAATTATGAACCACCTTTACAAATCGCAGCATATTGAGGAAGGGAATGATGATGAGTGGGTGAAGCTCTGGGAGATTATTCAGGTAACCGTGAATTCCCCATACATTGATACATCTTCTTCTTCTTCTTCGTTTTCTGTTCATTAAAACTGCCTTATGATCAGTGAAATGAAGAGCCAAGAGTTCTTGGTTGTGATGTAAGCTGAACTTCGCAAAGACAAGGTCTATACATGGCTTGCCGACGCTGCCATTTTGCTGCAGCTGCGCAAGCCTTCGCCGCCTCCGTATCGGCTTGCCAACGTTCCCGTACCACTGATAGCACAGGAAGCATGCTTCACGGGCAAGAGCACGTTCACATTCATTTTCACCTGTGGCAGAAAGAGAATGTGTTGTCTGGAAGACGCATATTTTTCGTCATCAGCCACTTCACAAAATACACCTAATGCCTTACAGATGTGTAGTAGGTACCTGCGCTTATCAGTAAAGTGATTAATGGCATAGTGGGTGCTTCATTATTATTGTCATGATGTTTAGTGAGTACCTTGCATGTGCTGTGCCGTGATGGCGAATGTGTGGTCTGGAGCGGGCTTTTGTTCTTTAGTGCCATAGTCATTGAGGAACAATGGCGGACATGACTCAACCCTAAAAAGCTTTGCCCCTAAAAACTGATGCTGTGAAGCCCTTACTAGGTTGTGTTTTATAGTCTCTGTATAGAACTAAAAATTTTAATGTGGTGGGTTAAGGGGCTCGTGAAGTTAACTTCACGAAAGCAGTTAATGAGACACTTGGTACTCTGAGCAGCCTTTAGATGTAGATTGTACCCTAAAAAACTGAAATTTAGAATTGATTTAATTCTCAAGTGATATACACTAAAAAAATTCTTGTAGATTGGTTAAAACAAATGTGCTAAAAACTTGCTATTTCATCAGTGAATGAAGTATCACTTGTTAAAAAAAAAGTTTGATTCACTTTACGAGAAAAATTCTCTGTCTTGTGCTCTCCGTTGCTTTGTTAGGTCGTGCTGGTGGAAGGAGATCTGAGCTGGCTCAGAAAGCTAAGGGCTGAAAGTGAAGGCTTAAGACTTCATTGTGACATATATGCAATACTACAATGTTATGATTATCGCTTAGTACACTGAGAACTAGTTTACTATACAGGCATAGGAATGAATACATATACCTTGTAAAGCTTTGGTTATCTTTCATAATGAATATTTGTAGGCAGCTACTTGCCAACAACGGATGGGTGGTTGTAGCTTTCCCTAATCTTGTGCTTTGTTACTCTTCCTTATTTTCCACTACTGTTCAAAATTTCGTCTAATAGTAAGTGTTCTTGTTGTATTCTTCTCTGTTTTGTCCATGTTGAAATACTTGCGTTTCCACGTATCGCGAATCCCCACCAAGTTTCTTAGCTTTCTATTCTTCTGTGAAAAAAAAAATTCGTTTAGCAGAAAGATATAGTAGTGGAAAAGTCATCTTGTTGCAATTGCTTCTCATTCCAAATGAAGCCATATGAGTGTTTTCTTGAAGGCCCACTCATGAGTGTTTCTCTCTTCTTTTCCTTTTCCCTCGACTTTCTCACTCGTGGCAGGTGCAAGGCCAAAGTCAGTGGCAACGTGGGCTGCTCCTGTTGCCCACAGCTCCCCAATTAACGGCGGCATTACTGGCGAAAGAGGCAATGATGTTAGCTCAAGCTCGCCGATTCCCTTAACAGTTTGGGCTAACCCGCAGTCCCGGCCACCGACTCAATACTTCCAGAGCCTGCGGCAGGTCCAGTCCAAAGTTGACTCAGGTCGGCCTCCTCATCGATGCTCAGGACAGGTTGTGCGCGTGCCTCCATTCACCATCAAGAGCGACATGCCGCCCGCCACGGCTGCCGTGGATGATGGCACTGCAGTGGCAGAAGTAGTGAGACCACCTGATTCACACCACAGCCTTCAACGTGGAAGCTCTTTGGGCATTGCTAGCAACAACAATAATCTTATGGGCAATGGTGGTGCAAATCGAGAAGAGGAAGATGATGCTTGCGACAATTCCTCTGGTGCAACAGGCGAGCCTTCGCCTGATGCCTCGCCGGACTTTGTGGCTGAGATTGATGCGGAGTCTAACCTAGTCAGCCACTGCCTTCAGGTCTGTGGTCATTAATGCTTAGATTGAAAAAAAAATTACTTGTTTTGGGGCTAAATTGTTTTCATTAGGCTTGCATAAATATAAATTATTTTCTATATTAAGTAAAGTAAAAGTGAAAAGTCATAATTAGAGTTACTAAGAAAATTATTCTAACAGTCATAAAACTGCATAAAGCCTAAGCACGTGTTCAAAGCGAATTTGAAAAGGGCATTTACTTTAAAGAAAAAATTTTTTCATCTCAGCTAGAAATGAGTTTTTTTAGTGTTATTGTATGTTTTTATTGAAAAATGTGAGTTCTGTATGTATTATAAGGTCAGCAGGAAGGAGGATTTATTTATGGTTCTTTTTTTTTTCACTTTATGGTTGTTTGTCTACTTGAAATATCAGGACGGTTGAAGTCACAGATGCATTTCATGTTTGTCCACACATTATCAAACTGTTATGAGTGGGCCAATTCTTCGTGCTTTTTATCTATGCACGTCAGAAACTTGACGTTTGTTCCATCCACTGAGTGCACTGATAAATTTGGTTGGAATGCTCACTGCTTGTGTGGCACTCAGTTTAACCCAATTACCAATAAGGGGCGAATTTCTAGCTGTTGTCTGCCACACATCTGTGCGTTTAGTTAAGCTCAACCAGATCTGGGTCACACAGGAGTGAGACAGCTGTGCATATTGCGCATTTTTTATACATTTTTGTTTTCTTGTGCCAAGCTGCTTCAAAAGCACAGAAATTGCGAAAATTAATTTAACTACTCCAAAACAGCCTAGAAAGCTTGAATTTTGACGTCAATCTCGGCTTCTGTAGGGAAAAAAGGCCGAGTTGACTAGTAAGACGCACCCAATCATGTCTTTTTTTTTACTTTGCACCTTTTCGGAGTGGAAGGCTCCCATGCATGGTGCCGCCATAATCTCTTCCAAACTGCTGTAAATATGTATGAGCCCGCAAAACCACAGAGACGAGTGGCAAGCGTAGCGGAGTTGACTTTCAGGTTTTTTGTTGTGCATAGCGCGTTCCTTCGGTCGTTGCAGTTTTCATGTCGACGCTGCTATGTGCGTTCCCCTACGCGTGTGCATTTGCATGAGGGAGTAACTGTAAACATGGAGTCATTTTTCTGCATGCAACACCTCTCCACGATGCCCTGGCGCATGCACATGGTTTTCAAAATGTATTCTTTGAGCAATAGAACATGTGCAACTCATTCTCGGTTTACGCCCATTAGCTACTAATTTATTTAGACAATCGAGTTCTCATTGCATTTAAAAAAGTCATCGCTCGTGAAATCCGCACATCGGTGTTTGTAGACAGAGAGAAATATTTGGTTATGTGCGAAGCTGTGGTGACAGTATGAGCGTTCAAAACATATTAGGCTATATTAACCGGCACCTTCATGTTTTGTTCGTGACTCATGACGCGTCGGCAACCACGTGGCACAGTTTTTATGAATAGTGATTTGCCACTGCTTCGTTTTGTAATCGAAACTCACGACGAGCACTTAAGAAGCACCGCTGTGTGCCGGCTCTGGGCTACATGAGCTTTTAGGCTTCGCTTTATGTTCGATCGGTGTTCCAGTCAGCAGCTGTTCCGCAGTTTGACTCGGTTTTCTTTCTTTGCAATAAAACTGGCCTCTGTACGTTTAGCGGTTTGTTTGCATGGATACGAGCTTGCTACCTGCGGTGCGAGAGCTTTACACGAGTCGCGGCGTGGGTGCCAATCGCAAGTCAATCGGGAGTTCTACACCGATGGTGATGACTTATGATATCAAAAAAATAGAACTGGCAAACGTGTGTCATATTAAGAACGTGTAGTTGCACGCGTGGATAGGCATTATCAGTACCATTTGCTTATTTGCTTATCATCAAGTGCCATTCACACGCCCTTTACGAGATAGTCGGTGCGGCAAGGTTTCTTCGATCTCACACTAGACTCTTCAAGGGGATCTCACATGAGGTGGCCGCGAGTCGCGATGCAGCCCGCTTTTGTTGTCTGTTAAGAGCTCTTGATGCTATCATGTCGGGCTTTTCTTTAAGCGAAGGACCACTTTTAAATTATTAAGATTTTTGTATAATAATAATTTTTAAATTTCTTTTTTAGTGTGATGTGGTTTTCTTTTTAAATATTTCCGGGGAACCTATTTTTCAACAAAACCTTTTTTATTCTTGAATTACTTTCCACAAAACCTTTTTTATTCTTGAATTACTGTTCCACATGTTAGTTAGGAGGGCTAGATAGGTCACGTGGTATGTAAAAAGGTAGTGCAGTTCATACTTGGGGATAATCTCTTTGAAAACTTCCTTCAAAATCTGTTTCGGTCTTATTTGTATGATAAGCCAATTAAATTATGCACTAGTGCCCCCACGTTGACAAAATTTGTATTTTAAAGCTCCCAGGACGACATATTAAATGCCGCAAACTGCTCCGTAGCAAGGTTCTCCTGCATTAAAATTGAAATTTTGCTGCTCCAAGAACTGCTCCCAATTTAGTCTCGGCCGTCTCACTCCTGGTCATGGAGTGTCAGTCTCCAAAACTTTGGTTTAGTACAAATTTCACATAAATCTATTTGGTATGGTTGAATTGTTTTTTAGGTAGGCTAAGAAACTGTCTTGGTACCTCGATTGAGCATCTGTTGAACAACCTGAAAGCCATTTTCACAGCCATCACTTTAATCATAATCCTGGTGGGGAGACTATAGCTAGTTGAAGTGAACTTATCTTTAGCTTTAGCTTGACTTTTGTATGACCCATGTGGTATGACTCTCTGTCTGAAATACTTTCAATTATATATATATATATATTTTTAGTGGTGTGCGAGTATTTGAACTTCCACAGATTTTTAGTAGTGTTTGCAATTTGATCCAATTCACACTGGAATGTTATCATTCAAAGTATTCGAACTTTCTCAAGCTGAACACGGTCAACATCTGATTGGCAATAATCCCCTCAGATTTTTTTTTTTCTTATATATGCTTCACCCCATTACACTTTCGTATTGTGGCAAAGCTACCTTTTGGACTCTATTGTGATCACACGTTTAACTAAAAAAACCAAAAAAAATTTGGTTCTGACATAGAGATGATAGACGTGGCATAGCGAGGGGTTGACTTAAAGTTGTTTGGACCTGAAACTTGGGCATAGAGTTCAGAAAATCTCTCCAAAGATACCTAGCACCCAAAAAAAACAGGTGTTCTTATATGTTGATATCTATGTGGCAGATTAGGAACTCCAAATTCAAAGGGATAGCGCCTTTGTCCTCGAAATCAGTTGTGCCTCCGCAGAAGTAGGAAGAGGTGGAGAAAACAGCTTCTTTTCCTTTCACGTGTGCGCTGTTTTGACACCTCATTGGTTAAATAAAAATATGTAAATAATTACAATTTGGTCTTTCCATTTTCTCATTCTTGATGAAACAACTGGAAACACCTTCCTTCCAGCCTTTTGACAACCTAGCCAAAACGTACAATTCTATGTTTATATCCTGTAAGAATGTTCTTAGGGGTCCAGTGCAACCTTTCTCCTGTAATTTTTGTTCCAAGTATTCAAAATATATTCAACAAATCTTGGACAACTATTCAAAAATATTTTATTCGATTCACACTCACACTTTAATATTCGACTTTGCTTTGCATTCGAAATTTTACTCTTCGAATAGCTCTAATTTTTTAAATAAATATTCATCTGTTTCAAATACTTGTATTCAAGCTGAAGTGTATATTGAATACAAGAATATTCTGTCAAATATTCTAAAGAAAAATTGAATAATCACACAAGCTTACTCACTTTCAGTATACAAAAATGATCTTTCGCTATTGATGCTGTATCATTATCTTCATTGCATTTCCTACATACATTTTTTTTCTGTCTTTTCCTTTACCCATTGCATTGTAGCTGGCTAAAGTATACTTAGGTTCATATTTCGCTCTTTAGGTATAAGTACGCTCTCTCTCTCAGCGCCTTTATCGACGCGTCACCACTTGCTTAGAACTTCAGTTCATCTTTATATAAAGAAGTGATGCAAAAGAGACAACTTTTGCTGATCTGGGATACGTTGCATGTACTTCAAAACACATCAGCCTTCATACAAATATATAGCAGGCTGAGCAGCACCGCCAAACTCTGTCTCAAGTGAGCGACTATAGGTGGCCGAGAAATGTAGCATAGCTACTTTTTCTGGTAAAAGTACGAAGCATGTTACAGGTTTGCTACAAGTAAGAGCTGAAATTGCTAAACCTGAGTTACGACGGCTGCAGGAGGCTGAGCTGCTGGAACGCGAATTGTCACGCAAGCTTCGCAAACAGAAACGGGGCCCTGATCCTGACGTTGTCCCCTACACGAGACCCCCCGCTCTACGAGGTGGTGCTACAGCATCTGCTTCTGGAGCAGCCTCCGGGAACCTGCCACACCGACGCCGCACTGCCTCCACTTCCGAGGCAAGGGCAAAATCTAGTAGCGGTCTATTGACTGCTCATTCTCGAGCTGCGTCTCTGCACGGTCCACTGCCACCATCGTCTGCAAAGAGCCCATCGTCCGCTTTGGCATCCAGATCTACACACATGACTAGTAGGTCTCCCGGCACAGGTGGACCCACAATGGTCGTGAGAATTCCCGGTGTCTCTGCCCCAGCTATGCACCTCCAGGGCAGGGCAGTCTCCGGGTCAGATCCTAGGCCACCGCAGAGGGTGTCTGGCATCGCTGTGTCTACAAAGCCAAGCATTCGCCGGTGATGACTCTGTAAACTACAATTTTAACAAAAACACAGTTTGCATAAGTGGCATTCTTGACTGAAGATGATGTGTGAGGGGACTGTATTCATTTAGCTTCAAGTAAGTACAGTGCAGCCTCTAGTTTGAAGAAAATAAGGCTGCTATTTTAATGCAAAGAAAGCCAAGGTATCTGACAGTGTGTTCACACACCTTCGAAAGCCTTGTTTATGCAGGAGCTCTCAAAAGTTTTAATTTCTTCTTCACAGACTAGATTTCGAACTTATAGCCACATGTCTATGGAGATGATATATTTTGATTTTCAAAATATACGGGGTAGCTGCAATTTTTTTTGCTTGTTTGCCATTTTTTATTAACTTTTTCAATTTATATATCTTTAGCGGCCTTGGCAGAAAAGAGCAGTCTCACTACATGCTAGCATAGTGTACGTGGCAACAGCAGAATGATTGGATGAACGTCTTGTAGTCTGTTGTCGTCTTGTGAAATAACTTCTCCTTTGTATTGCAACAAACTGTGGCAAAGGGTTAGTTATTTTATACTGCTCTCATCATCTGAAGTCAAATCGGTATTTACTTGAAGACAGCGTGAAGCTTCCAAGTAAACCTCATGTCAGTTTCTTGAAAACTGGCTTCTTATGAGTTAGTCATGATAAGCAATAATTAGCTGAGCAAAATTAACAGTGCAAAGCTGAAGGTCACTGAAACTTCCTCTTATGGTCAGGTCGCTTCATTATTTTTCCTCTTTGTATGTTTCCATTGAACAGAACTGATTTGCTATGCTGTCGTCTAGCCATGGAGCGTTACTTTCAAGCATCCTAGATCTATATTTAAATAGCATTGCTGCTCTCTGGGAGACTCAAATGTCAAGTTTGCTTTCAAACTTATTCACTCATTTCTCACTTCAGTGTGTATGAGTGAGAACAACTACACGAAGTTTTTTTTTTTACCATCATATCTAGAATCAAGTTAGCGACCTATAATGCGGCAACAAAAAAACTAAATGTGCAGTTCTGACTGAAAGGGCAAATCATTTACAGCAATAGCAAGGTATTGAAATAAATGTCATAAAGATGGTATTAGCTTTTTTGTAGTAGAAATTTCATAAAAATTTTCTATAACAACTGAACATGTGTGATGTCAAATTAGAGAGAAGCATGTCATGCTGCCTCTATCTTCCTATCATGTCACTGTGCTGTGTGTCTAAAACACGGCTAACCGTGTAAACCACGTGCATCAGGGCATCAACTATCTTAAATTTAAGTGCTGTCCTGAAGAGACTTCACCCCACACATGTTGCTTCTTCATTTCTAGCATAGCACTGTTTCATTTTGCCTTTCGGGCATTGTTCTTGGTTCACTGTTTAAAGACAATGCTAGCCAGGACAGATTTGATTGAAAGGATAGGAAGTTGGGGCCTCGCTGCATAATGCAGTCAATGTTTTTTTTTACAAGTGTGCTTGTGTGCATGCATGGGTGCATGCATGGGAATTCGGTCAATGTGGCTAGAGTGGATGTGTAATCACACATACACAAAAACCACTGTTTTTGTGTGAGACTGTTCTAGCACTGTTGACGCTAAAAAGGACAGTTACTAACTGGAAATTAGAGACAGCGTCAGGGTATCATTTTTTTATAGATTGTATGTAAAAAAGCTGCAACTTTTTAGTGGTCTCTTCAGTCACTGTTGGCTCACCCTTTTTTATTCCTTTTCTTTAAGCAGCATTCACCAACCAAAGAGAAGTTCCTATATGAGCATCTCAACTATACGTTTATTTATTAGCTGTCGACATTTCCCACTTTACATATATGTTTCTGTATAAAAACAGGTTCATGCACATGTGTGGGCAACTTAAATACCATCTCAATATGCCGTAATTGTGACTTATATGTGTTCATATTATCAAAACATTGTGCTATCAAAAGTAGTAATATGTTTCAAATATAGCAGCTTATGTGGAAATTGATTATCCCTGAGTAATTAATGATGAGGTGTTAAACAAAATGTATTCCCTGTAATGGGGTAAAGTCATAGTGCATTGGGCATGCACTTTTGCACGCTCTCACTGTCTTTGCTCAAGTAAACATAGGCAGGTAATGTGTTGGATTTATCATAATTCAATATACACATGCTAATTCATAATTATGGAGAGTGATAGAGCCATGAAAAACAGTTGTGCTAAGTTTCTACTTTCTCTTTTCACGTGTACGTCACTAATATGTCTTTGGGCAAGATTTGTGGACAGCACTTTTAAGCCTATGGTAATGTTCATGGAAAACAAATAAGCGGTATTCTGGTTTGGTGTTTGACATTTGCACCAGTCACTCAGGTCACTTTATGCAACCTACACCAGTTTTGATATAGAATTTCATGTCATAGCTGTCATTTGTTTTTTCTGATAATGTGCACCAGACCAAAAATTGTCCTTGCAATGCGAGTTTATTTTATCTGCAATGGTTGCAGAAATGCCTAATTGAAATGAAAGCAGCACAATTACTAGGCCTAATGTTCTGCTCACCCTTCCCATGCTGGCTGTTTGTTTTTCAGAATGCTGCTGTGGTTGTGACTTTTTCTTAGAACACCAAATGTGTTAGGCTAAGTGTTACTGCAGGGTCATGGCCCCAACACATAACATAGCAAGCATTCGTGCCATTTGCTTTTATATGTCTGTATTTTTGTGTGTTTGGAGATTTCTACACCTCCTGTCACTGTGGGTTCCTGTTCAAGAGAGTATATATTGTTCATGTTTAGCTGAGTTACAGTGTTTTACATTATATGTTCAACCTTTTCTACGTCACAGATGAAGTAATGCTCATGTTGGTCCTTATGCACTCGTATCTCATATGTATTTATAATGAGATATGTTGTTTTTGCTTGATCTATCTGAAACGTCTTTTTTTTTTTTTTTTGTTTCTGTTGCATGCTACTTTTGCCCTTCTTGTGTGTGCGTGAATTTTTTAAGTCATCTGCTTGAGACCAAAGATTTTTGCACTATATTCAAATTTCAACAAACTGATGGGAGTCACTGCTTTGGCTGCATTCTTTTGTGACTGATGCCATGCAGAAAAGTACAAGAATGACTGTCTTGACAAAAAAAGTGTTCGGGGAGTGACACACGACATTTCTTTCCAATGTACCCTAATATGGTACTGTTTATTGTCATTTCCACTTCTAGCAATTGTCATGCATAATAATTTCCGATGGAGGCGGAAATGTTGTAGGCCCGTGTGCTCAGATTTGGGCGCACGTTAAAGAACCCCAGGTGGTTGAAATTTCCTGAGCACTCCACTACGGCGTCTCTCATAATCAAATAGTAGTTTTGGGACGTTAAACCCCACAAACCAATCAATCAGTCATGCATAATAGTTAGTATATATTGGCTGATATAATACTTCACTTAGTGAAAATTTCTAAAATCAAGGAGCATGCATAGCAGTATGTAATTTATGATGAACTTTATTAGCATTATGATAAGCAGATTGTATTGTTACAGCTCCATCCTGGATACTTTCCACCTTATCTTGTTATTCATGAGTGCAGCTAAATCTACAGCTAAACCTCAAAATAGTAAATTTCTATAGTATCACAAAATTCTCAATATTCCAGTGTACAAGGGCAGAAAATAGGCGAGTTGGATTATGTTCATGGGGAACAGTAGGACATGGACAAAAGAGGAGACCATACGAGTTAGTGCTGTCGTTCAACGGAATGTTCATTGAAGAGACCATAAAAATAAGTACACCAGCAGTTACGAGAACAAAAAATGATGACATATTCAATGAATACTTGTAAGTGGCGGTCTCGGGTATTATCCAGGAAAGCAAACTCATGATCAGTGAGTGAGGGCAGCCCAAGAAATGCACAACTGCGCCTGCTTTCTGATAAATGTCAGAAAAGACACAAGAATGACAGGATTGGCAATGCTAATACAGTTGAACCCCGCTACAACGAAACTGACGGGGCGCGGAAAAAATTTCGTTGAAGCGAAAATCTCGTTGTAGGGAAATCGAAAAAAATATCGGTGATCTGAGCTAGCAAAACAAAGGAACGTTTATTCTCAAAATTCGAAAAATGTCCCCTGCTTCCTATTCTTTCCCAGCAGCATCTCGATGTGATTCTCGCCCATGCATAGCGAGGCCATGGTGAAAATCGCGCTGAAACAATGCCTAAAATCGCTTTCATGGGCGAACCAAACAGTTCCAATAACACGTTAACAGCAGCAGCTGTCCACCGTCAAAAGTATCCGACAACGCCGAGATAGAGGCAGGGTATTGTGGAGTGGCAAGTTTTGCATTATTCTATGGCATTCTCATCATCCATCACTCACGGCTAGTTGATTTTTTTGATAATGCAGAAGAACAGCAGCTCTGATTAGTTACCACACTGACCAAGCGCGAACATGATGATAAGCATCAGAATTGAAAAAGGCATCGTGCCGTGGTTGCACCCAGCAGCTGCGAGAAGGAAACCATGGACTGAGCGACTGAGCTTCAGCTTCGGATCATCTGCGGCTCGAAAGCAAGCCAGTGGCAAAACAAAAGCAAGGCAGTTAATTCATTGCCATCACTATCGAGAAGTGGCGGTGCCCATGCTGGCTGAACAGCGGCGGTATAGCGGCAGTTTCTGGTGGTGCCAACGCGTGTTTGAAACTTTGTTGTCGCATTTTCAGGCTCTGAAAATGCATCGAAATGTTAAAGATTGGGTTTGCTGCATAGCAATAAGTATATGAACCTGGAATCGCATCATAAAATTTTGTTGAAGGCGGGACGATCGAAGAAAATGTGTTCGTTGGGGCTACAATATTTATGCATAGACTTGTATAAACTGCTGACTGGGAATCGGGAGTTTTTCGTTGTAGCGGAAATTTCGTTGAAGCAGCGTTCGTTGTAGCGATGTTTGACTGTGTAAAGGAGAGCAAGGGTACCCTTAGGACAATGAAAAGTGTACCTAACTATTTATAACTATAACTTAGCATTCATAAACATCGTGTATTTTTAATCTCAGTTTACTTAAGCATGTAAAACCACAAACAAGACAATGAAAGTTTACTGCTGCTGCAAAACAAGGCCATAGCAATAAATTGCAACTAGCACAGATGCGTGGCCAAATTGTTGAATTATGTGTTGTTTTTTCTTTGGCACACAAACGAGCGAGTGCAGTGGTGAGGCACATGTATCGGTGCATCTTATTTTACACTCTATGCAGTATAGTTCACTATTTTATGTGCATATGTTTTGAGGTTTTTTGTTTGTTCGTTTGGCTACGAGTTATCATCGGTGGCCAGAGAGAGCATGTTACTTAACTGCAACCCTGCTTCTTGAGTGCAGGCTCTCTCAGTCACTGATAGAAAATTGTTGCTTGTTTCAGATACTACAGAGCTTGCTCTTCGTAAGTTTGGAAGTTGAGGGAAGTATATTCTGGACTTGCCATAAAAAAGGACAAACTGCTAGCAAAAGCCATTGCAACAAACAGAGGCTTGTACTACAAATAAGCATTTTCGGTGTATGCATCACTCCTGTGAGAAGTTATGTATTCAAAGAGTCAACTGGTTTTTCACAGCTTCTTGAAACCACAATCCTGCTACCAACACCATAAGTCATGTGAACCATGAGTAGTAAAACCAACTGACCAGACTTCACTGAAACAATTCTTGAGGGCAACTGAAATTTGGTGTGTTCAGGTATATTTAGACAAAATGCACTCTTGTGATTTTACAAAAAAAGAGAGTTATCATAGGGATGAACATAGTTGCTATCATTGAAGTTTATTATGCAGTTTGAAAAAACTTTATTTTTTGCTACTTTCTACCGGTGTCAATGCTTTGTTCAATGGACTATGTGGACAGCAGTGGCTCAGTTTGGTGAATGTTGCGATAAGTTTGGTGGATGTACAACCTCTGGGTGATTCCTATAATTATGTTGACGAGCTATGACTGGAGCAGGAGCATTAAAGCTTCACTTGCACCAATACAAATTCGATACGCTCTGTGTATCAGAGTTGTGTCTTTCGGCTTACTGCATGTCACACAGCTGCTCTGAGAAGAAATTGGTCAAATTGGCATTAAATTCAGGTCGTCAGATCCGAGTTAAGCAATTTTTATTGTTAGAATCAGGTTTTTTGTACTACTTTATTATGCAGGCATTCTTTACAGCCCCTTGCTTGTAAAAAAAACAAAGAGTAATTGGTGACTAAATGCTGCATTAAATGTGGAATTCTAATATAGGCATGTTTTGATATGAGGGAGTAAAGTTCCAGTTTTACGAAATTTTATATCCAAACTAAATTGTACATACTTTCATTTTCACTACTTAACATTGCACTTTTTTTCTATGTTTTTTCGTGAGCTTTGTCTCAAATCCTCATGCTGCTAGTTTTTTTTTTGTTTAAATAATGAAAAAAGCATCTCGCCAACTTTCAAATAGCCCTGCTGCGGTGGTATAGTGCCTAACATACTCGGTTGCTGACCCGCAGGTTGCGGGATCGAATCCTGGCTGTGGCGGCTGCATTTTCAAGGGAAGCGAAAATGCTGTAGGCTCGTGTGCTCAGATTTGGGGGCGCATTAAAAAACCCCAGGTGGTGAAAATCTCCAGAGCCCTCCACTACGGCGTCTCATAATTATATGGCGGTTTCAGGGGTGTTAAAGCCCACATATCAATCAATCAATAAATCAACCCAACTTTCAAATAAATCATAATAGTCAATTTTCATAATTCAGCACTGTGACGATAGTTATAGCGCGAGAACAGAACGAGACAGAGACAAGGACACGAAGGACACGAGCACTTTGTGTCCTTCGTGTCCTTCTATGTGGCTCGTGTCTTTCTTGTCCTTCTATGTGTCCTTCGTGTCCTTTTGGTCTCTGTGTCATCGATCTGTTCTCGCACTACAACTATCATGTCATACGAACTAGCCGAAGCTGCCACACTTCAGCACTGTGGTTCCGCCATGCCGGAGCTGTGGTTATGGGGCTCGACTATTGGCTTTAAGGATGCAGGATGGAATGCCACTTGTGGGGGCCAAATTTCAATGGAAGTAAAATGCTAGAAGCCCGTGTGCTTAAATTTAGGTACATTTTAAAGACCACCGGATGGTAAAAATTTCCAGAACCCTCCAGTACAGCATCTCTCGTAATCACATTGTGGCTTTAGAACGTAAAACCCCTACAATTATCATTAATGATAACTAACGTGCACTGATGCCAACATATATACCCTGTAAAGTGCATTGGAGATGACCACCGTTGTAGCTCAGTCCGTGAAGCATTGGACACGTTATTCAATGTTTTCAGGCCCTATCACTGCCAGCGGCTACCTATCTTTTCGTCCACTTTTTCTTCTTCAGATTTACATTAGCACTACTAACAACATTCTCTATACTCTTCTTCGCATCACTGTCCGTTCTCATTCATATTGTGTCTGACAAAAAAGAAAACGAGCCCTTTTCTACTTCTTCACTCCAAATATTATTATTGTCATAATTCAGCATAAGTACATTGTCCACCACTTTTTCTCTAATTACTGAAATCACTCTTGGAAGAATAATTATAGGAGAGTTTACTGAGGATGCTAAAAAACTTGTGGAACCTAAGCACAGGAGGCACGAGAGCATTAAAGTGGTTCTATGGCCTAGTGCTTTTTTAAACAACTTCTGTGAAATGCAGAACACATAGTCTTCTGGATGTTTCTGGGTCTCAATAGAGAAGGCGGCATTGAGATTGTGTTCTTCAGCTACAACTGCAAAATAGACTATTCCATGTGCAATTTCTATCTCACTGCCACAGCTCCATAGCTGAGGGAACCAACCACTGTACCACAGCATCATCATCACTTTTTTATGGCATTAGAAAAATGCAATCATCATAAATCTAATTTTGTGTTGTGTTTCCATGTTTTTCTTCTTCTTGGCTGTTTTTTTTTTCACTTGTTCAGTTGATGACGTACCCATAAACCGAAGTTTATCACTTGTGCCCCTATGCAAGGGTTAACTGCTATTATCTGAAGTTTTTCAATTTAGTTTGCATTTTTTATTTTGTTACGACTTTTGCTCAGTTTTTGCTCCATCGTAGTGAAGACTCTTTGTCACGTTTCTCAGTTTCTGCTCTGTTGTAGTGAAGACTTCTCTTCATAAATATGTAATAAAAAATTTGATTAATTGATGCTGTTCTTTAGCCAGGCAGTTCTGGTGTGATTCTAACAATCATTTTGCA